CTGCTGATTTCAGCAGTCTTCAGTTTATAGTGAGAAAATTTCCATATTAAGTCCTTGCATTTTTGTTTACATTACGCAGTACCTCAAGGGTTTTTTTGAATATATGGATTAAAATGTGAATGCAGACAGTTAAAAGAAGGCACAGTTAGAGCTGAACATTTTATTATCTCCCTTTTGGGAGAGCGACTAACATGTACAAAGTTGATCAGATCTGGAGAACAGCTTTGATAAAAACCTGCAATGAAAATTTAAAAAATATCAACATGTTTGTGAAATATTCAAGTTTGTTTGGGTTTTTTTTTAAAAACAATGTTTCAGGGTGATATTTCCAAATGAAAAATTTCCATTCTAATCTAAAATTTGATTGTGTTTATTCACTCACTTGCCCAGCTCCAGATATATTTTGAAGGAATCCTTATATAACATAGCATGAACATGAGGAAGAATCTTTGTGCAAGTACTCACGATGCTAATTGCCACAATAAAATTTGATCTTCTCTTGTATTGATTGTGACCAGATTTCCTCCTAGTTCTCTACAGAATTCTTCAGCCTCAAACCATGACTTTTTTTGGTTTCCCTCTCTCACAAAAAACTATTGAGGAAAAAAAAGTAAAAATAAATTACTAAATGAGCAAATTTTGGCATGTGAAAATACATAATTGCCTATGTAATTAAAATTAGTATCACTTTAGCATCCCTTTATTCTTGAGTGAGACAACATAACATCTGTCAAGACATATAATATTAAACATTAATAATGTAAAGTATAAGTGTTTTTTTCCTCAGCATCTTCTATTTTAAAATAAGCTATGAGTAGCACAGGCATCTGAAGACAACAAAAAATATCACAATGTACAGAGAGAAAAAAACGTTTATAACTTAATTGGAACTTTGACCACTGAAAGGCTCAATGAAAGATGGAATAGTTCAGTTTTGGTATTTCGCAGTAGAAAGCAGCAGATTTTTGAAAAATGGAAGGTGGAGGAAAAATCAACAGGATGGAATAGAAAAAATAATATGAATGGTGAAAGCCATTTGGCAAGGTGCTGACCCTGGCCGAGGAAGAGAATTTTGTATGGTGGTGCAAGCGTACAAATAGCTCTTGAAGTAAGGAATTGGATGCTTGACATTTTGGGGAAAGGATAATCAACAGTTTGGTAACTGGCAGAACCAACAGTGTTAGTAACAATAATTAAGTGTGACATAGAAGTTGAGACCCTTATAAATACAGGGCTAAAATCATCTCTGGCCTCCCAACAGGCAGAGTGTCCCAGGGGAGAAAGTGAGAGGATACTTATGCAAAGACTTGGAAGAGCAGTGTTGCATATTTACTTTCGTCCCAAGGGAGAAAGTGAGAGGATACTTATGCAAGGACTTGGAAGAGCAGTGTTGCATATTTACTTTTCCTTGATCTATTTTGCTTTTTCTTCACTTCTTTTCAAAAAAGGAGACTTTTTAAGGCATTTTTAGCAAAACCAAGAGAATGCCCAAAACTTTTACTTGCTGAAGGGTCACCAATGTCAAACTAAACCTAGATCTGAAAGCATCACACGCTGTGTGAGGAAAGGTTGGCAGAGGGCCAGGTTGCCATAAGTTTTCTCTTAGAAACATTGTCTTATGCAAGTGACACTGCTCCCTCTTAAGATGCAACACTATGTTTTTCTGACGTCCCAAATTCCTGGAAGTACGTAAATTGGGTTAGGTTCTCACCTGGCATTTAAATAAAAGAAAGCATGTTTCTAGTGCTCTGTTTTCGTTGTTTCAGCTTGTCCATTGTTGACTTTCATTATGTTCGATGGATTTGTCTCGTGGTTTTTCGCACTCGAATACCATGGACAAGACCATTCCCCAAAAATGAACCAACACCTGGGTCCCTGAGTACTACAGTGACCGGGACACCAGCCCCTGGGCTACCCCGTGCTCAGGCTCACAGGGAAGGTAGACACACACTTACTTTGAAGCACGAGTCTGCCCAGGAGGGTCCATCCCAGCCCTCAGCACAGGCGGCCGCAGGGACCTGTACAGAAGGAGCAGGGGGTGGCAGTCCTGCTGCCCGCTGTTTGCAAAGATAATTTGCTGTCTTCTCACAGCTAACAACATCCCATAACCCAGCTGTAATTCCAGTTCCCATGGCAACACAGCCTTGCTCTTTTCCTTTGTGATATGTAAAAGAAAGTAATAAAATAAAAGTCTAATTACTCTCTTAAGAAATGAGACATTTGCTTTTATTCATAGAAAATTATGAAAAGGAAGATGCAGATTATGCAGATTTAAAACCATCCTGGATATAAAATTATTGTTAATACCTCCTGACAGAGCCCAGATATGGGCCAGTGAGTCTCACAGACACACCTTTGCCAAAAACAGAGATTTGCAGCTTTAAAATACAAAACTTCCTTACCTTGCCACTCCAGGGAAATCACAGGGCAAATAGCACTTGATTTTATTTACATATGTAGCAGATGGCCTGACAACTACTTTGGGGTTCTCAATATCCAGGTAATTCAATTTCAAGACGACTGACATCAAGTAAAAGAGACGTGCTTTAAGGCATAGCTAGCTAGTGTGAGTTCCCCCGAAGATGCTCATCTGTCTTGCTGAAATGCAGAACAGCTGGACATTCACTGCTCACTTCTCACACATGCGCCTTGGGGGTCAAAAACTGTCCATAATAATTTTTCTCAGTCTGATGAGTTGTTGTTAACTGGTGTTAAAAAGTTGAAAAAATGAGACCGTGGACTTTGCTAACTCCTGCACAGTACTGCCTTTGATCTAGCCCATTAAAAATCTATTCCTATAAAACTTTGCGGGAGGTTGATTTACACAACACCTGGCGCTCAGCTTCGACTGTGTGTGTTACACTGGCGCCAAACACCAGGTCTGATGGTGTTGGCCGCCTACGGCTACAAGCACAAAAGAAAGTGCCTGCTGTAATTTCAAACACCAGGGGATGGAAAGCAGAAACCCGCATGAATTTCAGCTGCACTCTGATCACAAGGGTTGGGTCCGTGCAGAGCTTACCTGGCATTGCTGTGTTCCAGTGTGTGAAGAGAGGAGTTTCACCACTGGTCCACCTGAAGCTCTCTCGTTCTTCTGTGTTAGAGAGACCGATCCAGAAATATTTTTCAGACCTCGGCCCCGCAAGACTAGTCAGAAAGCCTTGCTCATATCTGAAGTAGAAAAAAGTGTTCAAACACAATCCGTTACCTTGCAGTACTAATCTAAATGGTACAAATAGAGGTATCACTATCGTGCTAGCATGACCACAAGGCAACAGCTCCTCAGTGAAGTCTGGGCAAAACCTCAGATAAGCTTTTAAATGTGGTCAAAAGAATTTGGTCAGGGACAACTTTCACTTTTAGCTGAAGACATCTTCTCTCCTTTCTACCCCGTTCTGTGAAATGTCACAAATCATTGCTCACATGGGCTTTTAGTTGTATTCAACTATTTTCCTCATCTTTCCAAGTCTTTGTGGTGCCTCACACAACCAAGTCAGGACCAAACTGTCAGCTTTGCTACCTATGACCTCTGAAAGCAGTCATGTTCCTCAGAAGCCATGAAATAACAGGCCTCAGAGGCCCCAAAATAACACAGCAGCTGCTTTAATTAGGAATTGAAAGATAAGAGAAAACTGCTTAACTCAAGAACAGACACAATTTGAAAACTGTTGTAAGAGGTTAAGTGGAAAGCCCTAAAACATCAAGTCTTTTTTTTTCCTGCATGGATAATTTTATTCAGCATACTACAGCACATTTATGAAAAGCACTGATAAAACACTTGGAAGAGTTCAAAAATTGATAATTTTTGAAAGTTTCCCCATCAGAAGCACTGATTTTGAGGTATAAAAAAAAGACGTTTTCCTACCTGCTTTCCACTGTAGCTAGATAAGCTTTGCTCCGTTCACATGTCTTATTTGCTTCTGAGAATGTTACCGGTGCAGAGCCCACCAAATAACAGTGAAGACCATATCTTTTCCAACCCTGCGACAAACATAAGGTTCTTAATGTGAAATTGAGAGTTCAATATAGAAATTAGCTCTGCTCTTTTGTGTATAAACAGTCGATGTTAAATTTGTTGCAGTTAAGCTTCAAACCCAGATGAGACTGGTCCAATATGCTGATAAACAACAGCTGTTTTTTTGTTGCTGATCGCTCCTACAGAAGGTTTTCTTTATTTAAAGGATGACATTAAGATCTTAGTTTTAATCTCTTTTACATGTACATGACTTTTCAAAGAAAATTGTGACCGTGCTATTTGCTATCTCTTTTAGGGCTCTGTAAAACTGGAGTTTTTAAGAGCTGTGGGATCTGACATAATGAAATACAAAAATATTGCAATATGGAGATGAATTCACATACAAGCAGAGCTCCCCGGAGCTGCTTCTGCCATCCTTCAGTGCAATGGGTGAGGAGACTGAGCCAAGAGGAGTCCAGTCGGTGCTTGTTTGTGGGAAAGGTAGAAGGAGGAATATCAGTAAAACACCCCGGCTTCTTCCTGCTCTCAGAGAGGTCTGTGCTGACCAATATAGACGTAATGATTTACTGATTCAGTTCTGGAAAAATTACTTGTTTGGAAAAAAATAACCTGCTGATATCACTCAAAGGCCAAGTCAACAGCCCATCAGTAGGAACGTGGTACAGAAAAGCTGATCCTTTTCTGTTTTGAAGTTATTTTCTTTCTTTTATCACTCGTATATTGTAAGGACTTTATGAAGTCTTTAGAGAGACAGCAGATCTAAGAGAAGAGACAAAGTGCCTTTTGGTAATTTTACATGTATTGTTAGGCTAAGAGCATAAACAGAATAGTAGTGAAATTATCATTTTAAAAATATATGTAATTTTGTCACAGGGCGACTCATCTGGGAATGGAGGGAAAGGCAGCATTCATGTACATGTAAATGAATCTTGACTTTCTTGAGTATTTTTAGAGCAAAAATGAAAAATACACGAATATTAATAAATTGTTAGTAGGAAAAGACTAGGTTTCCTCAAGAGTACATTTCCTAGAAGATACAAATACAAAGACTCCAAAAGAATCAAGAACCAGTAAATTAACTGCTGTTCATTTTTCCCAACAAAATTAATTTATGAGAGAGCATTTACTTTCTGGCAGCCTGGGTCCTCGATTGTCTCTTTTTCAGAGGATTGTGATGAAGGCTTCTTTTTACACATGTAACCAAGCCGCTTATCACAAACAGCAGTTGCCCAGTATCCATCCTAGGATAGCAGGGAGAAGAAACAAATGTAAAAAAGGGGCATTCAGAAACAGAAGAAAACTGGTGTTTTCCTATTTCTTCACTACAAGGCCCACTGAAATATGTTACCTAAGAAGGCTATAGGATCATTGCTGGAGATTTATTTAAAAAAAAAAAATTTTCAAGAGAGTATTTGTAAAGATGCATCTCATCTGGACCTACTGGATCTGCATTTAGAGCAGCATAATTTCACTACACTTCTGTAAAAAAGATCAATGAAACTGATAATAATGCACATCTGAGCGTGTTGCGGTAAATCTGTTTTATCCATCAAGGAGAAGACTCTGAAAATGACTGATTTCTTTTTAAAAACAGAATTATGTAAAAAATAAAATTTAAATAGGAGCTTTTCCCACCCATAAAATCTGGTTTAGGATCAATTCTGTTGATGCCTAATACTGGCAAACATCAATATTGTTCTACGATATAACATTTACTTTCAATAACAGCATTTCTTTCATAATAGCATTTTCAACTTGTTTCTTTTAAAATTCGTGACACTTTTTTGTGCGTGTATGTATGTGCATGCACATGCATGTAAATGTGTCTAAAACCCCAACCAACCATGTATTGGAAGAAAATAAAGTGTGTGAGTCAAGCAGTCAGAAATACCGTAGGATTTTAGGTTATGTGTTTGGCAGGTAGGTGTTAGAGCTCTCTTTACGTCACCGCTGAAGAAACGTGCCCTAGTGCCAGGTCTCCAAGCCTCAATGCCATGTCTCAGTGAAGTGACATTGAGTGACATAATGGTCTATCGGATTGGAAAATGAGATATGCAAATAGCATCTATGGTAACCGCACAATGTATTAATTAGTTCATCCCCAGTCCTGTCCAAGAGCTATAACTTTTTTAATTGCTGCAGCCAAGAGAGTGAATGTACTGTAAATTTCCTGGATCAAAATTTCGTAAGAAATTTTAAAAGGTAGCACTAGGAAAATGCTACTTCTCTATTTCTGATCTCTCCTGTCCTCTGAACCTCTCTTCCAGTTGAGGCCAAATTTATGGGGATAACTATTTTAAGCTGAGTCCTGAAAAAAATATATAAAGGCAAGTGATTTCAGGCTGATGTAGCTATTAGTTTGCTTTACTGTAAAATGACTGCATGATTGTACCTGCCCCTTCATAACAACGCAGTCCTCCAGACCGTTTGTGTAGGTGGGATGCCTGCGCTGCCATTTGGTGAACGTCACAGGAGTCCCATCACTCCACTCGAAATAGAAGTGAACCTTCAGGTCGTTCAGACCAAGCCATAACTCTTCTGTTGGCTCTGAAGTATGAAAACAAATAGGGTCCCTTATGGCTAGCTATGCAATAAAGTGAACATTTTCATAGCTGGAACAAACAAGGACTGATAAGTTTGGGATGTGTTACGTGAGAGGTGGTCTCGTGCTTTAACAAAAACGCTGGTTTCCTCTCAGATCTGCAGTAAGAGATGTGTTGGCCTGTACTGAAAAGGCCTCAGATTCCATCCAGGAACACTGAGTTTAATAAACACAAGGCTCTTTATGGCTGGCAGAAGATTTTTACAAACTTTCTGAGTATCTGTGATTCAGAACAAGATGGCTCCTAGCATGGAGGGTAGGACAGTGACTGTCCCACCTGTCAGGAGACCATGCTGACCCAAGCCATGAAGACAGCTGCCAATACATCTCCTTAATGAGGAAGCATTAGAGGGCTTGTGATGGCCCATCAGGGGTGTTCACCAAGTACAGCATGTACAGCAAGTGTCAGGACTGGTTACTGCAGATCCAAGGAAAATCAGAAGTTACAAGATATTTTCTTAAAGGGATATATAGCAAGAGGTTAACCTCAGCAAGAGTTTTAAACTTAGCAAGAAGTTAAATTTCCTCTAGGATTGGAGCTCAGTTCTGAACATACTGAACATAGAACAAAGCTGCCAAAAGTGCAATTTTTAGAGACCTTTATGTGTCTCTATTTTTTTCTTTTCCTGCTTTATAATGTTTTACAATGTAGATTATTTCTTGATAAATATAAATATACTTCTATGTTTATGCAACGGCAACAACAGAAAAGAATACCGTAAGTTAGATTCAGCCTTCCACTCGTGACATTTTGAGGAAAAAAGCCTTAGTATTTAACAGGAGGCCCAGCTTTGATGTTACAGATGTGGCAAACGAAATGCAGGCCTACATACATACTCACTGTAAGCAAGCTGTGACACTAGAAAGCTGTATTCAGCAATGTTGTGGACACTTGCCAAATCTCCATCTTGCTTCTTACATGAAGCCAGAGCATCTTTCCACGTTTTGGGTTCTCGTTGAATGCTGTAGCAGTGGCCTGCGTATGGCCACCAACCATCCGTGCACTTAATAGGTCTCAATTCCTCTAAAATTAAAGCACAATTTTTCAGAACAATTTTGTAAGAGGAAAATAAAGGACACTAGAATGAGGTCTCTTGAGCACTCTTTACAAAAGTGGGACTACATGAATAAACATAAAGCTGTAGACAGAAATGCAAATACATTCAAATGAAAAACAAACATCATTAAGGCACAGTATGCTAAATATGCAAATAGAATGATGTCTCCTTAAGCAGAGAATCATTGCAAAATGCCCGCATTGTGTCAGAGATGCAATTTGAAATAATGGTCTGGTAAGAAGGGGAGACCAAAGTAGACATCTGCCTCTCCCCGCTTTGCCCTCCAGAGCGGTT